AAGAAAATTAATAAGGGCCATTTTTTTGTAAGTCTCCCTTTGTGATGCCTGTCCAGTGTTTCTAAAGAGAGAAAACTACAGGGGTACTTCAGATCAATGGGTACTTTCCCACAGGGTTGGAAAATAGCTTTCTTATTTGCCTCAGGGTGATGAGATGAAGGCATAGAAACACTTTAGAAAAAGGTCACAAGATATTAAGCTCCAGCATCACGTATCGGAACAAATATCCGGATGAGATGGCGGAGTGGGGAAGTTCTTGAATCTTCTCATTAGCCGAAAGGTGACTATTAGGATACATAAAGACACGTGACATCTTATTTTGTCATTGCAGAGAAGGCCAAGGAAAGTGTGCGTCTGTCTCATCTCCATGCCTCAGGCTCTCCGTTCCATGAATTGCCTTTTGATTAAATCTCCATATATCTTGTGTGTACAGTGACCAAAAACCAATTTCGATCGCAGTGTCCCATGCCGCACCACATGTTAGCTTAGCATCTTAGCATCGGAGTCTTAGAAGAAGGAGATGTTGGAAACAAATGTTATAAATTTACAAATAAATCCAGGCCATCTAGACCTTGTCATCTAGCCAGTCAAATTTGAAGATGAGGGTGTTTATTCAAAACAAGAGGGCCATGTTGATTACTTCATCGTGCATGTAGCTTGCCCTTTTCTCACTATTATGCATGTTGATTGTGATAGCGTCACAATAGACTGTAAAGGTACATTTTATTTTCTTTTATGGAATTCTGTTGTTTGAAATGACTTCCCCAAAATAAAATCTTTTTTTCCTCTCAAAAGCAACAACAAATTTCTTGTTGAATTCTGTCTACCATAGAGGATATCTCTCCAGTAAGCCAAAAATATATATACAGTATACATAAATACTAATCAATGTTCAGGTATACAGATATTTTCTGTTTTTTTTTTCTTTTTTTTTTAAATCACTCTGACATTTAAATTATGTATAATTTAACCAATGAAAGAGGCAGAAAAGGCATTTTACATAATTTCAGAATAATAAGCAAGACAGTATTGGGATCTGAATTGTCCTAGCAGATGGAGGTCAGGCCTCAAAGTGAGGTAGTTTCAAATAAATGTCAGGTTTTTTAGACACTGACAGAACATGTGAAACACAAAACTTTTTTTTTCTCACTTATAACAAGCGAGTTTCAAAAGAGGATACCCAGAATCTCATAGAATGGACACTGAAGTGCCTTAATTGCAAATAGTTTAACAGGGAATACCATTTATTTCTCTGGTACTGGTATCTGAAACCTGCCTATCATAACTAGTATTATTAAAAATGATAACAAAAGTACTCAAACGTTTCAGAGACAAAAAAAAAAGTGAATTCTTGTGAATAAGTTAATTTCAAGTTTTTTCATAATTCTGCTTATGCCTGGATTATAAGGAAAAACACCTGCACTTTCAGCTGAAGTACACAATCTTCATATTTCTACTGCAATTAAGGCAATTTTACGCAGGCATGGTTGCGTGAAAATGTAAAAAAGCACCTGGCTTGTCACCACTTTAAAACTGAAATCAAGGTGGTCCAGCATCCCCTTAATTCAAGGTTTCTTAATCCGTTTTTTAATGAGTTGTGAACGCTCTGATATAAGCATGATGCAAAGGCATGCAAGCACTCAGCTTGGAAAACAGGCACAGCAAACTTTGCTAGAGGGAACGATACCACACAAATTTAATTTTATTGTTTTATATAATTTTAAGTAATTAAAAAAAAATTATAAAACTCTCATGTGTTAATATGTGAATATCATTATCATATATTTTACATGCCTGTACTGAGTTATTTACTTTTATTTTATTTACCGAAGAGTTTTATCCAGAAAACTTCGGTTTAAATCCGGTGTCGAAAGCCAGACCATTTTCAGAGCAGTAAAACATGAATATCCTTCTGAAAGGTATTTATGAACAACTGCTGTTTTTTCATTAATTGGAATTAAAGATGGGTCATTATTTACATTTATGATTAACACCGGTCACCTGAAGGTGAAGGTAGATTATTATGCACCACTTTAGCATAATAAACATATGTATACTAAAACTACAGGCAACTGATAATTAGCAAACAGATTAATTGAATACACTCAGTACTTTGTTCCAGGATATTCTCTCTTACTCATTGATCCTCCCATATTAAATGTTCTGGCGTCAAGAGTTCTTAAACACTTCAGAGCACATGAATGTTTTCTGTGATTTAAAGCAAGTGAGCACCAGGTCTTTAGCCTTTTATGATCTTGTCATTGTCCTCACTCTGTCTCTAAAAACATTTCGGTCGTTGTCTGAAATAGCTGCTGATAGAGTAAAATAACATAGAACAAGTTAATAATTATTTTGCAAAGTATGGAAATGTCTGCAGTGAAAGCCACTAGCGCTCAAAACTCCTGGTCCATATCTTTGAATATTTATTTGCTTATTTATGTAGGTAAATGTTTAAAATATTAGTTTTGCGACTATGGAGTTTTTTAAATAATTGTTTGGTGTAACATTTATGGTCCATAAACTGCCATGAAATGTCTTCTTATCAGTCATTAAATTTCTTACAGTATATCTCTCCTTTGGGACACTGAACACCTGGTATGACCAAAGTCTACTGAACTGGACAAAACCAGTTTTGATATCGCATATGGTGCAGTCACACAAAGAGCAGGTGAATGTCATTTGATGCTCGACCTTAATTAAAATCGCTTTACACACTTTTATCTAATAAGTGGGTGACGGCTGTGATGTCCAACCAAGAATCTGAAGGCCCAGTGTGACATATTGGGCCTATTAATAGCAGCAACGGGTCAGCTGACTAAAGCTGGAGCTGCATTAAGACAATATTGAAGACGGCGACAAAGTCAGATCCACTGGAACTGGCCAGTGGTGATTGTGTATTTGTTAGTATATCAGTATAACCTACAGGCAGGAGTATGCACACATAAAGCTGAAAATGTACACTAGTGGTCGAACTTGTGGAAACACCTAGCAATTTTGGCATCATGCTTTACTACACAAGTATTGACGATAATGTTTATAGACAATCAGAGAATGTTGACCAATATCATATATTGGATGATTAAATAAGTAACTGGAGCAACAGTTAAATAAAGTTCTGGAATCTCTAAAAATTGGAAGTGTTTCCACAATTTTGGATACTAGTGGAGCTCAGCAATGTCACGACACCAGCTGATGATACTGATTTTGGGATCCTTGTCTTACGTGTAGTCAGCTTAGAATACATATGTACTCAAAGCTGCATGTATTTGTAGAGCAATTAGCATGTCTTGGCGATGAGTGTTTTTTGCATAATTAGTTGTTTGCATGCATGGATGCTAATAATTAGGGTTACAGGCACCGCAAGGAAATTATGCCTGTGTTTGCACCTATTGTTGCTACAATTGCACAGCTAAATTTCCTTCACTATCTTCAATAACTACACAAGATTCCTTGTCTTAAAAGAGAACATACATTCAACAGTCAGTGGGGGCCTGTATCGCGAAGCAGGATTTCTTACTTAGAAAACTTTCATTTGAAGAGACTTAATAGACAGGATAACTCTCCCTGATAGCAGGTTATGTTCCAAATGGAGGCAACAGATCAAGGCTCTGTTGGAAAAACGCGTCAGATTTAAGGTAGTCTGGGCTAAATGTAGATGTTGAAGATAAAATCCATTTAAACTGGGCTACCTTAAATCCGATAAGTTATCCGGCCGTTAAGAAATCCGGCTTTGTGATACGGCCCCAAGGTTGTACATTTACACTGTGAACAAAATGTTTAGCTGCTCAGTGTGTACCAGAAGCTACATGCGTGTATCAGACACTTCAGTTGAGCTGAGGGTCAAAATGTTCCAAAGCCTGCCCTGGGAAACACACAGCAGTTCACATGCGCTGTGCGTGTTTGCACCACGAGAGGAAACTATCCTTTTCAGAAGGAAACCAAAGAGAACAGTTTTTTAAAATGTATTTGAAATATTTGATTTCTTTATACCCATGCATTTAAAATATAGCTATTGCTTTAGACGAAATGTTTAAAAAATATATAATTTTCTGTATGCAGACCAGTAATAGGTACCCTTTGATGCTAGATTATTTGCGTGACCATGGGGAGGCTTGAGGCAGGATAGTAAATCAGTGTGCTGCACAGCGGCAGTCTGGCTGAATGAAATCCAGAGTCCACTGTCCTCTGATGCTCACAGTTAGTCAGATTCATCCTTGGGCTTCCCGTTTCGGAACACGCTCAAGATAGTGTGCTTTCGATTAGCAGCAGAAGGGAGCACTTGAGGTTGAGGGAAGATATCAACTCCCCTCTGTCAAGTCCTTGTACAGTATTTACAGGGTACTATGGCAGTATTTCAGTTGCTAAGGGAGTACTGTACCTAACAGTGACATTTTCTCTATACCTTTCGGGGCTCTCAGTGTAAGACACAATGATGAATTTCCCTAATAATCATTAAAAAAAGGAAAAAAATAATTACTTTAATTTCTCATTTAAACTATGGTACAAATTTTAAAAGCATAATGTTAGAGGTGTCTCCACCGACCAAGATCAGGTCATTGGTGGATGATTTTAGTTGTATCATTTTCTGATAATTTGAGAACAACTCAGAATTTTTCCCAAACGCCACAAAAGTCAGTTAATTATTTTGTCTGTGGCTTGTGTACACTTCTTTTTTTAACCAGCCTGGATGCATCTTCGTTAAGTGAGTCTTTCCATATCCTCTCATCTGCTGTGCTTGAATTTCCCAGGTAGTTGTTTGTGGTTACTTTATTTAGTGCATCCTTCTATCTAAATCGACATCCAGCTTTTGCTCTTTAATGGACTTGGATATTCTAGTCGAGCGTGCATTGCCTTTCTGTCGTGTACCGCAGCAGTGAGATTGATGGGACTTGAGCCACTGACCTTCAGGTTAAGTCCACAGCTTTGGTCGGTCCTCCAGCTTCTGCCCTTGGGACCGTGATGGATCCTCCCACACCAGTTACACCAAAGGCTTGCCCAGCATGTGTCAGCTTCTGCTTCCAGACAGGGCGTCAGGTAATGGTAAAGTTTAAACACAGATGGGTGAAGACAGTGAGCAGAGATGTCTCATTAGAGAGTAGGAGAGAGAGCCGGCCCCGTTTCCCTTCAGAAAGCTGAACAGAGGACGGCGTGACACGTAGCAATTAGGACAACCATCAATTACTGTAGCATCCAAGACTTTGAAGCAATGACAATAAACTGCAATTTGTAGCATAAATTCAGAAGATGTGCTCCTGCATTTTTCCCCTAAGCCGTATATTTAATATTTCATCATAATCCTGATGTTGAATAAAGATTTAATACTTAATCATTGCACTATTCCAAGGAAAAGTACTGCAATTTAAAAGTATTTCAAAAGAATATAAAACTTTGCATTTTTAATTAGATAGCCAACATAAATATGGTTTTTAAATTCAACACTAGCCAAAAAAAAATTACAGAAATATTGCATATAGAATTCAAACAAAAGTTATGCCTAGTTCAGAATCTGATGACTATGCAATAAATCACTGTTTCACATGGTTTAACCTTTAAAATACAGCTGTTCATAATAAATAGTACGTTTGAGTGTTTCACTAAGTCATTTAAAGCCCAGAACGTGATGTAAAAGGGGGGGGGGACACCATTTTACTTTACAAAGATATCAAACTCAAAAACAGCAAGCCGGTTAAAATGTCATGTATGTGTCGTGGTTTTTACTATTTTTTTCTTTCTAGTTTCTCTGTAAGAAGATAGATTTTTATGTCCGTATTCTTTACAGAATTCTCAGCACGGGTGTGCTTTGAAAGAAAAGTAATGTGTAGCTTGACTACTAGGCTATAATTATTAGTGCACTGACTAATAAATAAAGAAAATGACTAAACAACAGCCGCAGCAGCCTACAGGCCCTCGGGGTTTATTAAGACTGTTTCTTGGTGGGGGGGCTTCTCTGCGTCTGGTGGTTTGCTTTCCTGGCAGGGGAACGAGGAACCCCACCAGGGACACCACTTTGGGGCATTTGGCCGGCCTGCTTTCCATTCCTGTTCAGCAGCTGACATGTCTGTCCAGAGCGAGACTTATGACCGACAGTTAACCCATTTTTCTAAGGCAGGATGTTCTGGAGGAAAGTCATACAGGAGCTGACCTTGGCTCGACAGCTGATGATGATGATGATGATGATGATGATGATGATGATGATGATAATAATAATAATAATAATAATAATAATGTGTTAATGGTAATGGGACGGCACCTCAGATCTTTGGGACTGTGGTTCAGGTCTCCGCCCCGGCTCTATGCGTGTGGAGCTTGCGTGTTCTCCCGTGTTCTCCCCATGTTCTCCCGTGTTCTCCCCGTGATATTATGGAATTCCCTCCAGGTTCTCTCGTTTTCCCTCCCAGCCCAAAAACATGCTAAGATGAATTTGCTGTTGTCAGAGTGTCCGTAGGTGTGAATGTCTGTGTGAGTGGTGAGTGAGTGTGTGTGTGTGTGTGAATGGTGAGTGAGTGTGCCCTGAGATGGGTGGGGGGTGCCCCCCCCCCCTCCTGCGTTATTCCCTATTTTACGCCTCTTTTTTTCCACCACAACCCTGCATAAAACAGTTTGATATTGAAAATGAATAAATTGTAATTTTCCAACCTTATGCCGAGTCAGACAGGCCTCAGCAACCCCATAGGACCATGACCTGGATAAGCATTTAGAAGGAGGGAGGATGGATGGATGGATGGATGGATAATGATATATTTACTTTAGCAAATTCAGTTAAGTATCTTGTTTGATGAGAAACTGATCCAACAGAGCCTTAATCTGTTTCCTCCATTTGGAACACAAACTGCTATCGGGGAGAGTTATCCTGTCTGTTAAGCCCCTTCAAATGAAAGGATTTTCTTGTATTGCTTTTTTCTTTTAAAAATGCCAGATTTCGTTTTTAGTGTGTATTTGCTGTTCATATTAAGGCAATAAAATATGATGATGGATTCTGAAAATAAGAGGAGAGAGTGGCTTTATGCCTTCTATTTTAAAATATTTAAAACCATTTACAGCACTGTTTTGATGGTCAGTGGAAATTATTTATGTTGTTTTTTTTAGTCTTAAAATAGGTGCTTTATGTAATGAAAGGCCTGAATGTTCCTGCCACATTGAATGCTGTGAAATGGAAATATCTTTTAAAAATAGATTACTGATCCACTCCCACTCATTCTTGCCTTAAGCGTATGTCTTAAACGTTCATCCCAACAATCGGTTTTACAAGATTATGTGGAGTTGAGCTTTATTTGAGCCCCGTCCTCCTTTCTGTGTTGCTGGCGATGTTTACGCGCCCTTTCTGTCTCCATCGCAGAGAAGTGCGACGAGGTCCTGGCCACGCCCCTCCCCCACGCCGCCTTCTCCAGCTCCTCTGTGTTCTCCAGTGGTTACGCCGCCGGATACGCCAAGCTGAACCGGAGAGGGGGTAAGCAGAGGTGCCAACTTCGGTCAGCTGGCTGGAGTGACGTTTTCAATTTGCGACAAGTCGGCACACATTGACACACACACACACACACACACACATTTACATGTATATAAGAGTTTTATTGCCTTGTAAATAGTCTGTAGGGTTTGCAAACTACCCAAAGCTTTTGATACAGCTAATTTTCGGCCTATAATAGAATAATATTGATTTGCCGTAAGATTTCTTCTGTGAGTGTGAGAGTCTGAAAGCATGAGTGTCACGGCAAATGCGTGAGAACTGGTGAGGTTCTCCACAGCAGCTTCTCGAACCCCAAACCGATAGCCGACTCTGTTGCTGACCAGCAGCTTGCCCTCAGCTCTGAGCCCCGACCAAGCCGATGGCTTTTCCTTGCGGCTCGGTGCTTTGTGAACAGCGAGAGATAAAACTAACTGGCCACAGCGATGCCTTATTTTTTTATTACAACGCTCCAGTAATCACTCCCGAGCCATTAAATCAGTCCTAAATTTCAATTTCACAGGTGCTCGGCCGTAGTGCATCTGCACGCAATTGAATTGCATTCTGTTGCGGCGGGTTAATAGGTTAAAAGGTTGGTGCTCATTTCCAATGCAAAACACTTCTTGCTGTATCAATTACCTCAGGAAAAGCCTGCCAGTGTAATTGCTTTCACTGTTACTTAATTAACTTCTTTAAAAGTGGCTTGGTAACTGTTGCATTTACCTTCCTGATATGAAGCCACAGTTTACTTTTTAGTTGAATGTAGACTAATGATTAAAGCTTCTTTAGCAGATGATTTTACCTAAGATGATGTACAAGTGAGGAAAGCGTGGGAGCAGAGAGCAGGACCAGCTTAAAGAGGTGGAATTTGAACTCACAACCATTTGGCAATAGCTATAGATTCCTAACATGCTACACACCACTGATTAAACATGGCTATTAAATTATTATTATTATTATTATTATTATTAATATTATTATTAAATTATTATTACTATTATTATTATTATTAGTTTTAATTCATAGCCATCTATGAACTAGTCATTGTCATGGTTCAACTAGCTAAGAAATGTCACATCTAGTCATTGTGTTCACTCAGTGCCACAAAGTTCAAATATAATGTGGAATTATATATTTGAATTAGCCATGAAATTAGCTGGCAACAAGATGCAATGTCAAGTCATCCATGACCGGTTAAAATTCTGATGGATTCAATGCCTTTGATAACATTTTTTCCCATAAGAAAACTGCAGTGTAGCTTTTCTATTCAGTCATGTTTTATGTGGCATATTTGCCTCTATTTGAAGTGAGTATTAGGGAGACTATTAGCAGTGCAGGACGGCTTTGTCTCAGTGAACGTGACGTTTCATTTTCTGCCGATGGCTCCAGAATGTCTCGCGAAGACATGAAGTCAAACGTTCTGATGTTACAGGCAGTGGCTTCTATTCTTTGGGGCTGCGCCGATGTTCTTTGAGGGTAGATGGAGGTGGAAGATATGTGGTGGTGCGAATGAAAAGGTTCCTTGGTGGAATGGCTGCAGTTTTGTCCTGGGATGCAGTGATCCAGAGCTTTGTTACCTACTCTCTGTGAAAGTCCTGACAGCCTGGAACCTAAGTATCTACAGCATGGAACTCGTATGCTTTGAGGACACTTTTGGTCATTGTCAGTCTGTTGTGCATCATGTTATTAGCTCGTTAATTGTGCCATATGTTAGTTTGCTCATAACTGACCCTGATATACACATGCATTGCACAGTATTTGTTGTTAATAAATGCCTTAGAAGGGCTGTATAGCTAAACAGCACTAAATCACGCGCGCAGATATTTTCCAATATTAATGATTTAGTGTTTTTACGATGCACCAGTTGTGACTAGGAGCCCTCTGGGACCCGTGCCGTGGGCCCTGACTATTCTGCCTGTAACGGTTATAGGTTACCCTCAGCTGAGAGATGGTCACACGCTAGGAGCAGCCAATGAGCCGCTGGCCGCAGGGCCACGCATGTGGAACCAGGCAGGCTCTGGGGAGAAAAACAGAATCAAAGCTGGGGGAAATGGTCAGGGGCACGTTTGTGGTCTGGGAGGGAGCTAAATTACCCGGGGGACTGGCTGCACTCGCAGTCGGTGGCAGCACCGGAGTCATAAAGGGGATTCTCTGCAGAAAATGCTCCGTGGCCTTGCACCGGGGAAGGGTGCTGCGATCTTTGCCTCCCTTAACGGAATCTCAGGATGTACCTAGTCCAGGGAGTACTTGTTTTATTGTTGAATACTTAAAGTAAATAGAAGGCAAAAACATTGCATTTTTAGGTAGACAAAATGTTTACTAGCAGAGTAAACAGCATATTAGTCCCTGTAGTGTTATCAGTAGAGTCTCTCGCATGCCTGTAACGGATGGAGGAGGATTACTATAAGGAATGGTGATAGAGGATGATACCAGTGGTAAGGGCCATTGGTGTTGTAGGAGTCAGTGGAAATACCCTCAGGATTATCCTGCATCGTTATTCACCATCGACAGAAAGGTCTTTGTCATCATCAGGCTCATAGGTCGCCCCTGGGCCTCCGTATCACCGATCCTGCTCGCATCCGGTCCTGCCATCCCTGACAAAATACCGGCCTTGCCACCAGGAGCACAACAACACACACACACACACACACACACACACACACACACACGCACACACACACATACACACACACACGCACGCAAACGGCGGGAGTGTTTCTGCTGCTCTCTTGCCCTTGCCATTTCATTTGTTGAACTGCAGATTGCAAATGCTCAAAGTCTCATCCAATCAGGAATTAAGATCTTATGACATCACAAACATAAGATAAGATAAGACACGATAAAGATAAAGTGAAACTATTCTTCCCAGGAGAAACTAATGTGCCAAGGGAAAGCTCTCACCATACAAGATTTGAAACAAAGAAAGGTTGAAAATACTAAATATAAAATAAAGAACACAAGTGTAAAGACAAAAAGGATAAGAAAAGGCAAAAAGAATCAAGTGCTTTACATGATATGGGCTGGTCGGAAGTCTCCCCCAGACATAAGGAAGAGAAGTCATACAGTGTAAAAGCTGCAGGGGGGTCAGCTGTGACCCCCCCCCCCCACTTTTGGGGTATGAGAGCAGCTACTGCCGTGACGGCGCCAGAAGTGATGTTCAATCATGATTTGGGATCAAAATGTGAGAAACAATGGCTCACTATCATGGGAAAGTCTAAATGTCATGCAGTTTCAGTATTAAATGCCCATCTATTTTCCATAATTGGTTACGCAATCCAGGGTCACAGTCACCCTGGATCTTATCCCAGGAAGCACAAACCACAAGGCAGGGATGCCTGTGTCATACCAGGATAGCCACAGGAACCCAAGCAGAACATGCAAATTCCACACACACAGAACCGAGGACAGGCGTCCCACCCCCAACATGAAGGTGTGAGGCCACAGGAACCCAAGCAGAACATGCAAATTCCACACACACAGAACCGAGGACAGGCGTCCCACCCCCAACATGAAGGTGTGAGGCCACAGGAACCCAAGCAGAACATGCAAATTCCACACACACAGATCTGAGGACAGGAGTCCCACCCCC